TTCCTTTTGTGTTGCTGTGGCTTGGATGAAAATAAAGTATGTTGACTGTTATATAAGAAAGACAACAAAGAAGGTTCTACAAGAGTTGTACAAGTGCGAAGGATGTTGTTTCGTGGTGAAGGATGGTTATTGTAATTATTGATATTGCGTGGCAGAGCGTCTGGTGCCATGCAAGGTCTCGCGTTTGTGAACCCATTTGTAGCCACACAATTCCGAGATGCGATCCTTGAAGATCTGCCATTGAGCAGCAGGAACGCACACGATTTCGTTAGGAATGAGTGCAAGAACTCCACGTACAGTCGAGTGAGAGAGAGCGTAGCGAATGTCGTCAAGGGTAGTAACTTGTCGGTTGTTCATAGTTGTTGTTATTAACAACAAATAAAGTTGCTGCTGTAATAGCAAAGAAACTTCCTCCTTCATAACAACAAACGCCTTTTCTTCTTTGTCCCTGCCATATTATCAACACCGCTCAGAGCTATATCCATGAAGCACTTGTAATAACATGCAATCCCATCTCACACCCGTTTATGCAAACAACTGAAACATAATGACTACATAATGTATGATCTTTTACTTTTATTTTTTTATCCCAACCATAACATCTACAGTAACAATAATAAAACCCTACATACCACCCATCAGCATATATAACTACCTTATCCATCAAGACCGGCAATGTTGTGTTGGCATATGCAAAAAGAAAAGGTAATCGTCGTTGCCATCGTGTGTGTGCGAGTACAGCGAATTGCAAAGGAGGATTATAGTTGTGGTGGTGTGTATGCATTATAGGAATATAATTATCATCGCAGTGATGTGAATACAAACAGCAAAGAAAGAGATGACTGTCATTACGATGATGATTTGCTTGAGTGTATAAGTATTAAAACAATGAGACCGGCGTCATAGTCGTCATCGTGTAATATGGGCGTACATGATAGTGAAAGGTGAATACGTCAGGCTGTATATTTTGCAAGCCAATAGCGGATCAGCGTCATGTTGTATATGATTGTGTTTGAGTAATGGAAAAGAAGATTGTTGCGTCGTTCTTGTTGTGAGTACGAATGGTTTGTGCAGGTAAAGGACGATGTTGTATTACACACGTAAGTTTGATGTGGAATGGTACAAGATGGTGCATAAGTATATACATATAAAAAGAGAAAGAAGCAGTAATTCTGAATGGGCATATCTCCACTAAAGCTATACCTCAAGCACAACTGATAACCTTTTCCTTCCCTTGTTCACTTATCCAGCGTTTTTTTAAGCAGCAGTAACAGCGGTCTACTCCTTATAAATCTTGAGTACATGCTTTTTTTAAGAAAACAGTTACCTTCATTTCGTTTTTCAATAAATCCGTGGACTGTGCCGTTTTGTTTTCTTTGTTTTTTATTCATCGTGAAGAGAGTAGGAGCCATTTACAAGTGTGCGTCGAAGCTGTTGATTTGCCGTGGCAAATGGTAATGAGAAAAAAAAAAGGATCTTTGGTTGCTGTTTTTTTCCTCCCTGCTGCTGCTAACAAACCCCACACTTTCCACCTACCTCTGCCACCAGCCTCCAATTTGTTTCAAACTCAACCCGGGTAATATGAATGGAGGGGAAACGCTCAGGCCCTGTTCCCACAGCAGCAAAATAGGCTTATGCGCACAGTGAGTCTCTGACGCACCCTTGCTATTTCCTGTACATTAGCCTACAAGCTTCTTGTCACGAGTGAAACAGCCATACTACTATATCCTGATATTGGCTTTGTACTGCTTAACTTATATTATGTCTTGACTTGAATTGAAAATCTTAAGTACTCATATATTCTGCTCTGCTATACTTAATATATTATCTACTTCAACTTTTATTATGTCTTAGTTGACTAAAACTATGTCTAGGTTGACTGTTATTATGTCCAGGTTGTCTATTATTCCTGTTTAGATTGATTATTATTCTTGTCCAGAATGATTTTCATTCATGTATAGATTGATTTTTATTTTGTTCAGATTGATTTTACTCATGTCCAGATCGATTTATATTCATGTCCAGGTCAATTTATATTCATGTCTAGATCGTTTTATACTCATATCCAGCTCGATCTTTATTCATGTCCAGCTCGATTTTCATTCATGTCCAACTCGATTTTCATTCATGTCTAGATCGATTTTCATTCATGTCTAGCTCGATTTTCATTCATGTCCAGCTCGATTTTCATTCATGTCCAGATCAATTATTATTCATGTCCAGATTAACTTTCATTCATGTCCACTCAGACTAACATTCATGTCCACTCTGCCTAAATAAAAGTTCAAACATCCGCTAGGAGATGAAAAATCCTGTATATAGGGTAGACTATACTATTTTTTTATTTAAAGATTTTTTTCTTTCATATAATCATTAACAATATCTTTTGTATTAAAATCATTTTGTTTTACCCAGGTATTTTCATCATCACTATAACTAAGCCATTTTACATAAAATATTAATTTATTATTATTATCAACCATATGATCTATTATTTTTTCTACCTGAAATATATTATTATTATTCTTTTGTTGGTTACGTTTTCTTTTCCTAGGTACATCATTTATTAAAAATTCATTATTATCTATATTTTTTTCTATATCTTTTTCAATATCTTCAATATTTAAATTTAAAATTTTATATTATAATTCTCTCAATTCATTATATTGTTTAATTACTTTTTGTTCACTACTAAAAACTAAATTAATTTTATTTATTTTTGTAGGAAATTCAAATCTATCACCATACCATGCCATATGATGAGATTGAACTTCTATATTATAATTTTCACAAAAGTTATAAATATTCTTTAATAAGCATGCAACACAGAATTGAAGATTATAATATTTTTGATCAGACATTTGTAATGCTGCTTTATTATTATTAAATCTATTGAATTTTGATGTTAATATAGAAAATTGACTTTCAATTTCAGATCTAAATGAGCCAAAATTACTATAATAATTTAACTCATTAACAGTTAAATTTTTATTAACCTCTTTTCTTATTAGATAAACAAAATTATTATGACTAAAATCATAACCATATTCATTTACATTTTCTATAAGTTTTTCAACAAATAGATTATATCCACCATCCATTCCAATACAATCTAAATTATTTATATTTTTATATAGTTTCATATTAAGGAACATAGTTCCATCATTACCCTTTGCACATTTTTCACTATTTGAAATATATATAATACTTTTACTAATATCTACTTTTATTTGAGTTCTTAAACTAGGTCCCTTTAATGTATATGAATACAATCCACTTTTACTTTTATTTGGATTATAGTATTTTATTTTACTATCATGACCATCAATATATAAAGTTACATTTTCAAATCTATTTGGATTATATGTATTTGCTGCTAAAATTCTAATTTTTATATTTGAAAATAAATTTTCTAAATCATTTTTTACTTATTCATTAATTTTGTTATAATTATTTATCCAAAAATCATTATATAAATCATAAAAAGATGTGTATAGAATTATATTTACCATTTCAGGTCCTGTTCTACACACCCGGGCAAGAACTTTTCAGAATTGGAAACACTTTATATGGTTAGACTCATGCAGGTTCACTAAAATTGCCTTTTATGGATGAGCAAGTACCAGCACTCACCAGCCCAAAAATGTGATGGTAGGGTGGGGGGTTGCATGCAAATGTATCAACGATGGAAATCAGGAGTATTCGTTTTGAGAATTTTTTTTATTTGATTGAATTTACAAAAAGCAATAATACTATCGCAATTCATCCTGAAGCAAAAAAAGCACAGCGAGATTCGTTTTGCTTGTTCCAATCCTGGGATTCTATCCTGGGACATCAGTGGGTTTCTGCAATTTATCGTTTTTAAAACGTGTTTGAGTCAAGTATTCGAAATCAAAAGACACGCATAGAAAAATGACATGCTTACCGTTCAAGAGTTTCTCGTCATTTGTTAAGATAGCCCTACAAACAGACAGCAGCACACTTGGAGAGAAAAAATATTGCATAGCAGCAACACAACAAAAGGAGCCTTTAACTTACCAGCAGTGTACACTCTTCTTTAAGCGTTTAGAGCATAAGCTAATATAATGTTGATAATATTAAGATTTTATACTAACCTTTAATTTTGATGGACTTACCTGACTCATTTCGTCTTCAATAATGTAATACTTTTAGTACATTGTTAATCAACCATCTAACGCTGACACATTACCTTTATATTTAGTAGTTGTTAAACATCCTATATAAATAATCTAAGGAGATTAGTAATAACATGCATGCCAAGAAGTGTTGAAGTCTCTGAGATTAAGAATAATAAGTTATGCTCAATGCCTCAGAGGATTACGCATGCCAGACCAAGAAGAAAAAAGCCAAGAAGAAAAGCTTGCTGAGTCAGATTACGCGTACGTGTTGCTGCCTAATAATATATCGGAGTTGTTCCTCTTCGTCTTAGCGAATCAGAACAATATATAAAGAACAGCTTATGCAAATATGCTCTTCCTCAATTCTTACTTCTCTTAAGCAAAATGTCACATCAAACACAAAACACGTTCATAGGAAGATTTTCTTTGAACCCACATTCTACTCGCAACTATTGCAATGTTTGCAAATTAAGATACTCGCGAAAAAAAAAAACTGGCAGCTTGACAGGTTTACCAGAGGGTGATGACTTAGCGAAATTTCGAGTAATTTGAAGCGATTGTGCGACAGATGTGTGGTTTGAGGAGTGGGGATGGATCAGATGACCCGAAATCCCCCCTTAATTCCCTTAAATCGCACCCCCAACCTCAAATTTTGGAGTCTCCCCCACTTCATTTTTTCAGGATGCACTGTATTAGCCAATCAGCATTCGTTATTTGCCATCGGAGACAAAATTATTTCCTAATTTATAAAATCCTTTGCCGGGTGTGTACCAGATACTCTTTCTCCTGCTGGATCAAGAATCTCTGGTGCCACTGTAACAGATAACAATAATCAATATTCTATGATTGTGGCAGTTCCCTTTATGTTTTATTTGACTTACCGTAGTTTGGAGTTCCACATTGACTGACAAAGGCCGTTGCCCCCTTTTGAATCTTAGCCAGGCCAAAGTCTGTTATCTTAATGTGTAACTTCTCTTTGTCGACGAGCAGTACTAAATAAGGATCATAAGTGATAGAAAGTAGAGTGTTATTTACGATTTATGAGATAGCCTTTTACGGCCATGGGAATCACTGAGCATAATAATGCCAAGAAGAACATATTAGCTTTTTTCTTACTATTTTCGGGTTTCATGTCGCGGTGAGCTATACCTTTGCTATGAAGAAACTATACGAAAGGTAAAAAAAATGATACATATATCAATATATAATCAAGGCAATTTGTCTTAACCAACGTTTTTTGCGCTAATCCATTTGAGCATTTAAAATATTTATTTATACACTTATATCAATAGCAGTAAACAATTGGAAGAAGACAAAGTGTGTTTCGTCTTCTGTTAAACGACTGTGGTACACAACGTAATCGAAAAGTTCTCCACCACGAACACTATTTCAGAAAGAAAATAATAACAACACCGAGGACGACATATTAGTCAACATACTTTTCTGTCGCGACATGTGGTACAAGTTGTTCGTGCCTGAACAAGCGTATTATGATTTCTGCAGCTACCTAGAATTCCGGCTAACTGTTGCTGGAATAATAAACAGGAATATATCCTAATTTTTCTAATAGTTCATTTTTTATTTCTTTCATAATTTCATTACTTTTTATATCTTTTATTTTTGTATGATGATTAAATCTATTTTTTATTTCAGGCCAAGGATCGTGTAAAAAATTCCAATTATTAACTATTAATTTATTAACTTCATCATTTAATTTATTTTTAAATTCGATATTTATATTATCAATGTCCATTTTTTATTATACTATTTTTTCAATTTCTATTCTATTTATTTTGTTAATAGATAATAGTAAAATTGCATCAATTCCGACTTGTCCCCTATGTTAATATCCCAAAAATAAGAGTATGACGCAAAATCATTGCAGGGCATATTCCACAAAACTGTGTAAATCCCTAACTACATAAACAGCAACTATTACCGTGACTATACCTAGTAATACTACAGATAGCATTGTAACTTCACAATAAACCTTTGCTATCTTAATCACTACAAGAGTGCAGCTTTATAAAAGCGCTATGCCTTGACCTCAGAAAAAAAATTAAAAAATGGTAATTCTTCCCTAGGAATATTACTAGGGCCAAAAATTGGACCGTATCCAGCAAAATTAGACCGTATCCAGCAAACACCTTTACTATTATATTAGGTGTTCCAGAAAAGGAAGGTAATTTCCCTAAGTATTTTTCTGATCTTACTATTATATTATTCGTGGGTACGGCGAATGGTTTTTGAGAACAGCCTTACTACTATATTAGGTGTTCCAAGAAAGCAAGGTAATATCCTACGTATTTGTTTGATCTTACTATTATATTAAAGAATATTGCAAATAAATAAAGTATCTCAAAACGAATCGTATGTTGTCAGAGTTGCGAATATTGTTGTCAAACTGAATCGATAAAGCTCATAGTTGCAATGACAGTACGATTTTGAGAGCAAAGGAAATAGAAGTGAGAAGCGAAAAGAAAACCACATGAGAAGCAGAGGCTGGGGTCAGACGTGCTCCTAAAAAGGAAGGTAATTTCCCCTTGGTAATTTTTCGATTTACTAGATACAGACCAAATTAGCTAGATATGGTCCAATTTTTGCTGGATACGGTCCAATTTTGCTAGATATGGTCCAATTTTTGCTGGATACAGTCCTTCAATTTGGATATAGCATATATTTCTTAAATATGGATACGGTCCATTTTCTACTACCACCCTTTTTTTTCCGCTTGAAGCTTCCAAATGACACCAACAATAACGAAGGAGCAAGCTCTTTGTATGATTTTCTACGTAGAGTTTAACCCTACCAACATGGAAAATCTCAAGGACAGAATCAAGAACATGACTGATATCGATATTTGCTACGAGACTGACTCATTACACCCATTTCTTTTACCGCTCGTCAAAATGTACTCAGAACCTTACCACTACAAAAAATATACTAAAACTTTTGAAACACTTGAAAAAATACACCATGTAGACATGCAACAAAAGCAAGAAATCCATTTTAGTAAGTTTGTATGGATATGTATTTGATTTAGTTTTTAATTTATTTGTATTTGTTTATAGGCTCTGATCGCCAAATTGTGCAATTTCTGAACGAAGTATATCTAACAACAGATCTGCTGAACGACAGAGTATATACCAAAAAGCTAGTTTCAAACAAGGACATCTTATCTCACGTATGGCCTTATACAACGAAATTTGACGATAAATTGGTGTTGGGATTTTCAAAGTGGTGTTATTCGAAGAATGTTGCCTTCACAACTGTGGATTATCAATGTAAAGCATTTGAAAACGGTCAGCAGCAAAGAGAATTAATCCTTATTCTTATGTTTAATAATAAAATTATGAAACCTACTACATTTAATAGTTAAAATATAATTATTAGAAACATTATAATAATAATCTACATATACAAAAATAATTAATTTAATACTTAATGTTTTTGGTTTTAAAATAATCTTTTAATATTTGTTTTTCATTAAAATCTTTCTCATTTACCCAGGAATTATCTGTTTCATCATAATCTTTCCACTTAACAAGAAATTCATATTCATTATTTCTACTTAATTTATGTTCTATAACTGTTTCAATTTCATAAATATTATTATTTCTGTTAATTTCTCTAATTAGATTTAGTTTAATTTTTCTTTCACTTTTATTTTTCTTTCTTTTTTTTCTATTAATATTTTTATATTCAGGGAAATCTATATCTTCATTATTATCAATTATATGATTATTAGGTTCTTCATTACTATTATTATCATCAATAATCATATTATCACTTTCAAATGATAAATCTGATAAATCTTTTTGTAATTCACTCATTATTTAAAACTATATCTATTTGTTTTTCATCAGTAGGAAATTCAAAGTTTTTTTGAGCCCATAGTTTATGGTGTTCTTGTGTAATTATATTGAATGTATCTGTAAATAATTTTATATTTTTAAGTAAAAATACTACTTTTATTTGTAAGTTAATATATTTATAATTATCTGTTTTTAATGTAGAGTTGTTATTAGAAAATCGTTTAAATTTATTTCCTAATTCACAAAATTCGTTTTCTATAGCTGACCAAAAACTTCCAAATACATCATTAAAATGTTTTTCTTATATATTCAATTCTTCATTAGGATCTTTTCTAATAGGATAAAAGAAGTTATTATCACTTAATGAAATATGTTTCTTTTTACATAAGTCTTCAAACTGTTTAATAGATAATGTGTAACTACCATCAATAGCTAAAACATCTCTTTTATCCATTTTCGTATATAATTTCATGTTGAAAAACATACCACCATCACTACTAACTCCACATAGTTGACTATCAGAAACTGCAATTATAAAATTATTAATATCTGTTAATACTTGTGTTCTTAAACCTGATGTTTTTAATTTATATGACCATCGTTTTTATGCAGAAATGTCAGGCTTATCATATTCAATAGTACTATCATGACCATCTAATAGTAATGTTATATATTAAAATTTCTAGGGTTTTTTATTAATACAGAATAAATTTATATTTTAATATTAGAAAACATATTTTTTAGACATATATCTACATATTTATTCAAACTACCATAATTTGTTATCCAAAATTCTTTATAAAATTTATAGAATGATGTATATGGTATATTTCGTTTCATATCTTTCGATGTAATACCTGATACAAGATGATATAATAAATATAACCCTTTTTCAATTTCAAAATATAGTGAAGGATAATCCTTATGTGTATATAATTTAGTTAAAAAGAAAAATATAGAAGTATATCCTAACTTTTGTAATAGTTCTTTTTTAATTTCATCTATTTCTTTAATATATTTCAACTCTATTCGATGCTTATAATTATTTTGTTTTCTCTTCCAATTTTCATTTATAAATAATTTATCTATCTCTTCCTGTAATAATGTTTTATATTTTAAAACTTCTTCTTTATTTAGTGAGCTATTATATTCATCAAATACCATTTTGAAAATTTATAATAAAAACCGTTCTTTTAACTTATTTACAAAGCAATCAGGAAAAACTTATAACCTTAGGCAAAAACCAAAATTGAATATCTATATAATTATTATTTATCTTATATTTTGATATCTAATTCATATAATATAATAAAATTCAATTTTTTAGAAATAAGTATATAAAATTATTTTATAAGATAAAAATTAGGTCATTATAGTACAGGATTTTTCATCTCCTAGCAGACGTTTGAACTTTTATTTAGGCAGAGTGGACATGAATGTTAGTCTGAGTGGACATGAATGAAAGTTAATCTGGACATGAATAATAATTGATCTGGACATGAATGAAAATCGAGCTGGACATGAATGAAAATCGAGCTGGACATGAATGAAAATCGATCTAGACATGAATGAAAATCGAGCTGGACATGAATGAAAATCGAGCTGGACATGAATGAAAATCGAGCTGGACATGAATAAAGATCGATCTGGACATGAATATAAAACGATCTGGACATGAATATACATCGACCTGGACATGAATATAAATCGATCTGGACATGAGTAAAATCAATCTGGACAAAATAAAAATCAATCTGTACATGAATGAAAATCGTTCTGGACAAGAATAATAATCAATCTAAACATGAATAATAGACAACCTGAACATAATAACAGTCAAACTGGGCATTGTTTTAGTCAACTAAGACATAAAAAAGTTGAAGTAGATAATATATTAAGTGTAGCAGAGCAGAATATTTGAGTACTTAAGATTTTCAATTCAAGTCAAGACATAATAGAAGTTAAGCAGTACAAAGCCAATGTCAAGATATAGTAGTATGGCTGGTTCACTCGTAACAAAAAGCTTGTAGGCTAATGTACAGGAAATGGCAAGGGTGCGTCAGAGACTCACTGTGCGCATAAGGCATAAGCCTATTTTGCTGCTGTGGGAATAGGGCCTGAGCGTTTCCCCTCATTTCACTTTACCCGGGTTGAGTTTGAAACAAATTGGAGGCTGGTGGCAGAGGTAGGTGGAAAGTGTGGGGTTTGTTAGCAACAGCAGGGAGGAAAAAAACAACAACCAAAGATCCTTTTTTTTTCTCATTACCATTCGCCATGGCAAATCAACAGCTTCGACGCACACTTGTAAATGGCTCCTACTCTCTTCACGATGAATAAAAAACAAAGAAAACAAAACGGCACAATCCACGGATTTAATGAAAAACGAAATGAAGGTAACTGTTTTCTTAAAAAAAGCATGTGCTCAAGATTTATAAAGGAGTAGACCGCCGTTACTGCTGCTTAAAAAAACGCTGGGTAAGTAAACAAGGGAAGGGAAAGGTTACTGGTTGTGCTTGGGGTATAGCTTTAGTAGATATACGCTCATTCAGAATTACTGTTTTTTTTCTTCTCTGTATATACTTGATGCACCATCTTGCACCATTCCAACGTCAGACTTACGTGTGTAATACAACATCGTCCTCTACCTGCACAAACGATTCGTACTCACAACAAGAACGACGCAACAATCTTCTTCTCCATTACTCAAACACAATCATATACAAAATGACGCTGATCCGCCATTGACTTGCAAAATATACAGCCTGACGCATTTGCCTTTCACTATCATGTACGCCCATATTACACGATGACGACTATGACGCCGGTCTTTTGTTTTGATACTTGTACGCTCAAGCACATCATCATTCGTAATGACGGCCATCTCTTTCTTTGCTGTTTGTATACACATCAATGTGATGATAATTATATTCCTATGATGCATACACACTACCACAACTATAATCCTCCTCTGCAATTCGCTGTACTCGCACACACACGATGGCAACAACGATTACCTTTTTCTTTTTGCATATGCCAACACGAACATTGCCGGTCTTAATGGATAAGGTAGCTATATATGCTGATGGGTGGTATGTAGGGTTTTATTATTGTTACTGTAGATGTTATGGTTGGGATGAAAAAAATAAAAGTAAAAGATCATACATTATGTAGTCATTATGTTTCAGTTGTCTGCATAAACGGGTGTGAGATGGGATTGCATGTTATTACAAGTGCTTCTATAAAAACTATAGATATAGCTGTCAGTGGGATGATAATATGGCAGGGACAAAGAAGAAAAGGCGTTCGTTGTTATGAAGGAGGAAGTTCCTTTGCTATTACAACAGCAAGTTTATTTTTTATTAATAACAACAACTATGAACAACCAACAAGTTACTACCCTTGACAACATTCGCTACGCTCTCTCTCACTCGACTGTACGTGGAGTTCTTGCACTCATTCCCAATGAAATCGTGCGCCTTCTTGCTGCTCAATGGCAGATCTTTAAGGATCGCATCTCGGAATTGTGTGGCTACAAATGGGTTCACAAACGCGAGACTGTGAGTGGCATCAGACGCTCTGCCACGCAATATCAATAATTACAATAACCATCCTTCACCACGAAACAACATCCTTCGCACCTGCATAACTCTTGTAGAACCTTCTTCGTTATCTTTCTTATATAACGGTCAACATACTTTATTTTCATCCAATCCACAGCAGCACAAAAGGAAAGAAACCCGTCAGTTATCCTTCCTGCTATCT